CTCCCCTGTTCGGTTCCTGGTAGCCCTTGCGTTCCCCTCCTGTCTGTCCTCTCTGTACCTGGAAGGGCTGCACTTTTATGAGCCTGTGATGGCAACTCTTTGTGTGTGTGTGTGTGTGTGTTGTGTGTGTGTGTGGGTGCTTGTGTGTTTGTTGTTTTCCAATGTGATTCGTTTTTGTGTTCATGTGATTGCGTGTGTGTGTGTGTTGTTTGTGTGTTCATTGTGATTGCTTGCGCTTGTGTGTGTGTGTGTGTGTTTGTTCCGGCATGCTTATGTAAGCACTCTGAACACGCGTCTCCATCTATGTGTGTTGACAAGAATACAGTTATATCATATTTAACTCCCGGGCTCAATCATTCACCCCCCCATCCTAGATTCTAGTTTTATTTTTTACATATTGTCTGACTGACGTAAAGGAGATTTGAAACAGCAGTATTGTTGTTACATTTGGCAATACGATTAGCACTAGTTAAGCAGTTGCTCTCATCAGGTTTAAGTTGTAGATATTTTGCCCTCCAGACTTCCAACTAGGGATATTACAATCAAGTTCATCTGATTCCGATCTGAGTCCTTTTTAATATTGATATAACACCAAGCCTATACACCCGTATCATACACACTATTTTTTTTAACAGCTACTCGGTCCAAATAGTGAAGGTTCTGATTCAAAACTATAAAGTTTATCAGCTTCAATTAAATGTAGGCTAACTGAAATCCTAAACATGTACATGAAGCGTGATGGAAAGAATACATATCACTCAGTTGAATTTGTGGGAACTACAGAAATGGTTTTACAGTGGTCGCAATCTTTGACTTTGAGTACAGACATCGGCTGCAGCACTTTAACCCCGTCAACAGCTGTCAAAGCTTTGTTTTGGCCTGCCATCAATGTATACATTGCATAACACGATTAACAGCCGATGTGACCTACCATGGGTTACGTTATGTCTTTTTAACCGGTGAAAGTGACAGTCTACACTGGCTAACAATATGCTTTATTTTAGCCGATACTGATCTATTAAAATATGCATGGATTGGCCCCGATAACAATCCTTATGATCGGCTCTGGGACATCCCTACTTCAAACTGCATCTAATACTCATATACTCAATTTTGTCATGTGATGTGAAACTTTTATTGAATGTATTGATAGTCATAATCTTTTGCATTCCAGCCTTCTTAAAACAGCCTCTAGTACCGCTTAATAGGGAAAAAACACTACAAACTCAACTTATTTGCTGATGACTTGTTACTATATTTATAAGTAGTTTGATTATATTTAGAATTAAAATAATAAAAATGTATTTATATTGTTATATAGAACATTAAATAAGATAAGGAAAATGTAATTATGATAGTTATTTTAAAAGTGCATGGGTATATTTTATGGAGAAGATATGCAAGCACTTTTAAATTACGGTTTTGTATATTAAGATTTAATATACAAAATACTATGACAACATACCTTTTATAAAATATACCTTAGAAAAAATATGTCTAAAAACTAAGCGCAGCATTTGTAAATAAATAAATAATCCAAAGTGAAACTAAATAAAATAAGTTAAACCATTAGTAAACACATTTTTTTAATATAATGTGGAAAATGTATCTGTTTAAAAATAAAGCACAAAGATAACACAGAAGTGTGTTGACTTAGTTACCCGTTTCTTTGACAACACCACCTACATCCTCCAAAATGACCATAGAGTTGAATGTAAGACACTGGAGGGAAAATGCACTTCATAAATGTATGATTTTTGCGCATCTGTGTTTTGATTGCATTGGATGTACTCAGCTGTACATGATAGCACCTCCAGTGTATATGGTGTTTCATCCAAAGATTCAGTTATACATTACTATATTCCCACAGTTAATGCAAGGTGAAAACGATATGGGAGTTGTGTGGAAACATGACATCTGAGAGGTTGTACTGTAATTCGTTAGATAACTAAATAAGCAGACAGCATGTGGTTTGGTGGTATATGAGATTAACCATGATAAAAACAAATATAATATAATCATATGAAGCATTGCATACATTATAGATAGACAAGCAGCAGCTCATGTTGGTCAATAAAGCACCAGTAGTACTCTGTACACAGTAGTGTTTACGGATGAATGTAGATTATATGCTGCAGCCTGCTCTCTTTAAAGCTTTATACCACTTAAACTTCATGAATGTTTCTCCTAGAGACTTGACTCTTCAAGAGTACAAGAATAACATTTTCGTGGGATTTTTCCTTGAAACTTTTCTCTTTGTTTCTGTTAGTTCACAGAAAGAGTTGAGGTGCCTCCTGTGCTCCCCTCTCTACTGCAGAGATGAGGGAACAGTTTAAAGTTTGTAATAGAAGACACTTTTCTAAATTAAACTTTAGATGGGGGGGGGGGGGACAAGAGTTTGCTGTGATTGCAGGTGCAGACACTGCCCCCTATAGTAATTTTGTGCCCAATGCATCGTGTACATAAATATTACTGTACAGCAGAGATGCACACACAGACCCTTAAAACACCACATTTAATCACTGCATTTGTGTGTTTCAGAGCGCAGCGGCAGCGCCCAGCCCAGTGATGGGCAACATGCCCCCGAACGACGCCATGCCAGGTGGTCCCATGCCCCCAGGCTTCTTCCAGGTATGAATTACCCCCTCTGTCACTGTCCTGTTCACTCCTCCATCTCTCCATCACCTCCAAAAACACTCTTATCTCTGTCTCTCTACCGTTCTTCCAACTCTTACTCTTCAAAAACAAAACGACTAACTTTTTGGCAACATTTGCATATTCTTTGAATTCAACCTCCAGCACTGGGAGATGGTGTCAAAATACAGTATATTTGGTTAGTTCAGTCATGTTTTAATTTGAGTTTTAAATAAGGCAGCAACATTTAGAATTTCCCCACTACTGATAACCACTTAACTCTTCAATTAAAACACCAAAATCACCCAAATTAGAGTCATCTTCGTCATTTCTCCTGTAAAAATATGTCTTAAGGCAGAGCATTTCAGACAAATTATTAGAGCCTGACTGATATCAGCAGGCCAATATTATTGACTGATATTATGTTGTTATATATTGGCATTAGTGTTACTATTTGCATGCTGGGCAGAAGTTGCAGCAATAAATGTTTAATTTGCAGCATTTTTATATTTTACTTAAAATTCAGTTCAAGTTAATAAAGAGTTATGTGTTTATTGTTATTACATCCACAGTACCCAAATTTACAGTTTTTCTTATGTTTGGTGATTTTTTTTTTTTCACCACTGTCCTGTGGAAATGTGTTATTCCAGGACCGTAATACGATTTAATTGTTATAACTGTGATGCCTGATTTAAAAAAGTTATTGTTCAACATAAAACATCACAAAATGTTTGTTGCATATTTAAGTAAAACAAAAAGAATGCCAGCTGATATATTATTATCATTATTATCAAAAACAGGCTTTCACTCTAAAATCGGCAATCAAGTTGGATCAGGTGACAGTACAATTCCAACTCTCCCATCTAGTTTTTCCTTTCTTCCCACATTTTTCCAAACATCGTTTATCCCACTCTTGATATTTACACCCACCAGAGCCTCTGATCCTCACACCGTTCATTCATCTGTGACTCTCTCTCTCTCGCTGGGCTGCTGTTCGACCGATTTGTGATTCAACCATCCCGTATTCATCCTCTCTCCACTCCTCCATCTCCATCTCTGTCTCTGACCTGTCCCGGCTCTGTGAAGGGAAAGGTTTTAGTGTGGGAGATGGCTGTCTGAAGAGTGAAGAGAATGAGACACACAAACACACACACACACCGATGCATACAAACACACGCAGGCATTTGTGCACACATTCACAAACAAACACACACACATCCTCTGTGAGGCAGTGGTGTGATGGACAGCACTGGCATTTGGCAGGAGGCACGATAAGGTGGTGGAGAAGAGTAGGAGAGAAAAAGCGAGTGGCACGTTGGATAGAGAGAAGGAAGGAGGGAGAAGGGATGAAGAGGGGTGAGAGGAAGAGGAGAGGGAAATGTGAAAGATCAGTGCCACCAGGATTGTGGCCCAGTGTTTGTTTCTGTGGCTACCTACCACTCCATTGTTTGCTTGCTGAGAACGAGGCAATGTGCTGAGAGGGTGGTGGTGGTGGTGGTGCGACGGGATCCCAGTGACCGAGTAGCGACCGTGAATACAGCAAGGGGAAGGCGTGGCGCGTGGGGGTGGGGGGGGGGGAGAGAGGGTTGAGGAGAAGAAACGCATGGAAGTGCATTTAACTAAACTTGGTGGGGAGTGACGATTGGCAATGGGTTTGTGTGAGTGTGCATGTGTGTTTGTGTGTATGTTGTGTTCAAGGGACCTTATTGTAATGGAAAGCTTTAGTTGTTTGCAGCAAATATGGTTCATGCTCATAGTTGGTATCATAATAGGAGAAATATTGAAAAGATTTCAATAGATACCTGAGTTTCAGACCTGATGCCTAAACAATGCCACTTTGAGAAATATGTACATGTCATTATGTAAAACTGTTTTTCTTATTTTTTTTTATTATTCAACATAAGAAAGCGCATGCTCAAATGCTAAATGTTTTTGAAACACAGGCAGCTGTACCAGAACTTGGTTTGCATAAAATGGTTGATGGATTTAAAGCAAATACTCTCAACCAGAGATTAAGTCAAAAAGATTAGGCTGCAACTACAACAATTATATTCATTATCAATTAATCTGCTATTTATTTTTTCCCAGATCCCAAAGGTGATGTCTTCAAATGTCTCATTTTGTCTAAGCAACAGTTCCCAAATGCAAAGATACTCAGTTTACTGTCTCGTACGTATTTGTTATCAAAATGGTTGTCGATTCACGTTCTGATGATCAACAAGGCATTGAATTGTTTCAGCTCTAAACAAGATCACAAATTTGGGATGCTCTGATTTGCCAAATCAGCATTGGGGCAATTATTGACCTTATTAAGTGGCTCAGGTGTCAGTCAGACAGGATTGATTGTCTATTCTGTCATTGTAGATTGCATTTTTTCTGTTATTGGTTACATTAATTAAACCGACTCCGTTTTTGAGCCCCACAGCCAATCCCTGGTGTCACATTACCTTGCATAAAAAAAATATCCTAATGAGTTACTAACAGTGTGGTCTACATTGAAAAGAGCACTGATATCAGATCAGTTACCGGCAACATTAGCTGAGCTGAGGTATCTGAATTGATATCGGGGGAAAGAAAAGGTCTGTGCAATCGGTTAATCTCAAGCAGATCAGACCACGTTAGAGCTGCAGCAGTTAGTTGATTAAAGTCGATCGACTGGTAACCATTTTGATAATTGGTTAAACGTTAAAGGCAAATATTTAATGATTTCAGCCTCTCAGATATGAGTATTCTGTGCTTTGCCTTCCTTTGCAGTGACACTTTTTGTTAGTCAGTGCTATGGACACACGTCATTAGCAGGCGTTCAATATCCAACCCTATTCATGTTGGAGTGTCTATTGTGAGATGTGGATTATTGGACTGTGATTCTTTTGTGCATTGGTTTGTACTTCACCTGTAATGGCACAACACGTGTGCTATTTATTGAAGCTTTTTGAGACAAACTGACAAATCTCTATGTAGTTTAACTTTCAGAACTAGATAAATGCTTGCTCTGGCTAATTGTAGGTATATATATGCACCCCCAGCCTCACCAAGGCAATCCATGTCCCAGTTCCTACGAGGGATACATGGAAAAAGAGACTGTTGCATAATGAGTTATTTATTGGGGGTCGTTAACCTCTTGTCTTGGGGTGAAATGTCAGCAATAACACAGCAGTGTGTCTGAGAAGACTGGGAGTGGCTTTTGTCGTGGACAGGGCACTTTATCATACGAAAGCAGGCTCACAATAAGCAGGAAGAACTTCCAACTTTAACTTGTTTTTGTCTATATCATCTTTGTGGTTTGAAGTTGCCACTACTGCCTGTCCTGCTGCTGCCTGTCCTGTTGCAGCGTGCCTTTGGCAACACTGCCCCCATGTGGTTGAGAGGAAAACTACATGTAGTCATCTGACCTGAGGGGTCCACAGGATCATCTCTGTCAGTGTAGCCGCACATGTTAAGGCCATCCAGTAAAGTAATTATTCTTTAAACTGATTCCTTTATTGGGGGGGGGGATTCAAAGGCAAATTAAAACCGTCTTCCTTTTGAGCTTTGGCTTTTAATTCTGTGTTGTTAATGTTTTAAGGAATTTATTATCTAACCGCAGATTTTAAAGAATCTCCCCAAAATGTCCAGCTTTATCCATCTTCTTGCTCCTCTTCTTCTTCTTCAACTTAAAGACTCCTGGCTGACTCCCCCTCTCTCGTCGTCCCCCCC